ACATGACAATTATGAAGCCATGTCTTCAATGTAGTGGTGTAGGATTTCTTATCACCCAGTTTGCAAGTACCCTCTTCTTTCTTAACTTTTTTCGATTTAATCCTAGTACGTTTCCATTCTTAATTTTTTTATTGTTTCCATTCTTTTTCTCTTCATGTAATACATACATTCTGTTATGATTATGTGGTAGGTTAATTATATTCATGCTGATCACATGCGCATAAATTAAAATGGCATCAAATCAAAAACTCACGCTGTGTCTGCAGATAAATTTTGTCTTCCATTTTGTATTCTATCCTCACGTCTTTTTGAAACTACCTTTGTGGTCCTTGACCCAAGCCCAGAAGAGTTATGTAAAAGCCAAATTGAGCACTTCCCTGGCTCAAAAAATTAAAAGGAAAACGAAAGAAGATGAAAGAAAGTAGAAAAAAAGTCTGAAGAATTTTGCAGAAATTTGAATTCGGGCCTATTCGGAAAAAAATGCTCCCGCTACATTACAGTCCACTTTAAAGGCACCAGGAGAATTGCTCAGTGAAGGAGAGCTCATCTAAGCCATTTATAAGGCTGTACAATGTAAGATAAAAGAGTTTAAGTGTTTAAAAATGATAAAACCAGCCACCATCTTGAAATCCACGTCAATCATACCTATAGGCTACCGCCTATGTATTAACAGCTAGTAAATTCTGTATAGCTTGAAATTTTAGTGGAATGTAAATTTCGTGGTTTTCGTGGTTATGGGGCTGCCCAAGAAATTTAAACCCACGAAATCATTGAAGTGCCATTCCCTTACAGGCTATGTAAACTGTCAGCCAAAAAATTTAAACCACGAATTACCCCACTACGAGCAAACCACGAAAATATCAACCCATGAAAATTTCAAGCAATACGGTAATAATTACCTAAAGCACATGGCAAGTACATGGTTTTTGAAGTTTATTATGCCACGAGAAAAGAAACCAATACCTTCCAGTATGTAGTGGTAAGCCCAGTTGTGTTCGATAATAATCATAGGCCCTGTATATCTACTGTCAGCACACATGTAAGGCCATTGCAATTAGATTAATTGTTTCTCCTTTCCCGCCTGCATACTCCCCCATGTCTCATTAATATTCTGATTAATCCATGTACTAGCGGTGCCACTTGACACTTGTGAAGCGAAAATAGGTAAAGAAAGAGGCAACGACTTGCTTTAGGTATATCAAGAGTACTTATTGAGTAAGATAGATTATCATTAATTGTAATGTGCAAAAGAGCTAAGTTACATGACACAACTAGTGAGCTAGCTTGTCCGCCATTTTATTAGTTCATGATTTCATAATCCCTTGCTTTTACCATTGACCTCTTGCACACACTAGCTTTGTGAATTTATATTTCTGACCTTTTTGTAGCTTACAGAAAACAATCATTCAGAGCGTATTTTGATTTGTGCTGGCTAAGGTTCTTGCAGCTTGACTAACTTTGCAGTCTACCTAACTATCAATTGTTTTCTTTAACTACAGTAAATATTGTCAGGTTTGTACATCTTTGTTGATTTATTGACACACATGCTTTCTCTAAATTCTTGTAATGAATCAAGTATTTTGGTTGACTTGGCTCACTGGTGTTTTATTTCATTAACGGTTAGCCTTGATTCAAAATTTTAATTTATGCTTTCTATCCTTTAGTCTCTACAGCAATATTTACAGTCCCATACAGAGTGGTGACAAATGCTATTAATTGTCTTATGAATACATTTTATTTCTTGTTTTAATGGTCAGTGTCTTCAATGATGAATTTGTATTATCATTTAATATAGGTTTAGCCCCAATTCACATGAACTTAGTTGCTACAAGTGTCATAAATGTCTACAAGTTTTTAATGCCATGGAGGATAACACATTGCAATGTGTCGTTTAGCGTTTCAGAATTTTTAATGAGACTATTAAGCCCCAGTTGGATGTCAAATGCATTTTGCTGTCTGCCCTCATTTGACAATAATACATACTCTTGTGCTCGTCAATGTAAATTTGCCCCTTTTCGCTGTAGTCTCTAAATTTGGATGATATCTGCAGTATAAAGTTCGATCTACAGATGATGGTGCTGTTACTGCCACTGGTATGAATGAGAGTTTTGACTGTGCCTTAATTCCTAAACCTGGTAGAGAAAGAAATAGGAAAATGATTTTGATAATTTCATTTTTTAACTCTTTATTAGTTGGCTGGTTACAGGGCAAAATCACATTGGCAAGTAAACTGTTAGTCACTCTAAGGGATATTTTCTGGTATATAGGTCATTTCCATGTATCTGATAGAGAAAAGACACCTATTCTTTCTGTTTTAAATATCTTTACTGGATCTAATGTTCCTGATCAATCAAAGCATTGTAAAAAAAAACTGGAAATATTTCTGTTAATCAGCTTTGTGGATATGCACTTTCACAGCTCTTATTGGAGTGCTACTGGGAAAGGAAGACTGAGAAAAAACTTAAGCCACATTTTGTGGATTTCTTTTTAAATCTCAGTTGTTATTCTGAGCACTTAATTGACAAACACAAAACATAAAAAGTAAACTAAAAAAAACCTACTCCTGTTGTAAGTTAATAGACCACTTTTCTACACAAGTCCTAGAAAAATCAGAATTTGTTCCATGCTATTGATGAGTTAGTATTGAGTCAGTCTGTATATGCTCATACTAAGTGCTAAATACTCTCCAATATGCATTTATTGTGCTAAAGAAGAAGGTTGTGACCTAAGTATGAGAACTGTAAAGATAAACCAACTATGTATATTAAGAATAAGAAATGAGGTGTCTTGTTACTTTTTATCTTTTCAAATCTCTCTTTAAGTTTTGCACAACTTTTTTTAGCATTACTGTACTGATAATAATTTAAGTTACTACCAGCATGTAAGAAGCATTGTGCAATTTACAGAGAATTTGCATTAGACATTGAATTGATAACAATAAAGTCAATATCCAATTTACAATGATGTATAGTAAGGTGGAGCTTATTTTATTATTAATATTCATTAATGAATATCGATAATCACTAATATCATTAATACCACCTGCCTGCCAGCATACTCTCCGCACTTGAAAGGACAAACAAGGAATTTAATTGGGGTGGCCTAACTGTACATGCCATATTGGTAATAACAGCTTTTTAGACAGGCAGGGTGGCAAGAGTTTGGCCATAAAAAACGTTTTGACCCCCAGTTCTGGTTCTCAAGACCGGACTGCCTAGCCTGCTGTTCCCCGCAGTTTTCATGCTAACACAGTAACCATAAAAGTTTCTTTATATTGTCACACGGTATGATAACTGGTATCTCTGAGTCGCAGGCAAGATGCAAGGAAGATAGCCGGGAACAAAGCCTAAGCGGGTGGCAGACTAGGAGCATCAACAGACTGTGGCCAACACTCTGCCGTCTGTCAATGGACAAAAGTTGGGCATAGTGTCCCCTCTAAAATTTAACGTAACATTATTTAATCTCAGCATATGTTATACATACACACATGTCAACACAAATAATTCACTCAGTGCCAAACCAAAAACCCAGCCTTAATTAACAATAGCAGCAGGTAAATAATAAGCACATCGTCTAAATCTCCAAAGCAAGTGGTCTTTTAGTTTATAGTGCTGGAAAAGAAGACACAATACAAATCAGTATGTCCAGTTTTGTTACATAATAAGCATAGGCCTGTATAGAGGAGTTGCAGCAGAAGTAATTAATGGGACATGTGGCTCATTGTCCGCCATGTTGGGTCGCAAGACTGCATGTTGGAGCATTGAAGAACGAAGTGAATCGAAGAAAAAGTCCTGTTCTAACAATGTTTGAGATGAACTAGTGTTATCAAGAGCAAGCGAAGGAACTTGCTCAACAATTGCATCACTCTTGGCAGAAAAGAAACCATTACAGACTACACTAGAGCACTTAGTGTAAGAAACAGGCCTACTCCAAGTTAAGGAGAAGCTTCAAAAATATTTGTAAAACAGCTGCTGGCAATTATTTTATGATATATAAGTATAAAATAACAATATTACAAACTTTACAACTTTGAAACACCAAATACTTCATTAGTTAAGTGAGCTTTTTACTGCTGGTAAGGTTTGATACAAAAGCCTATCCATTCAGGAGTCATGCAACAAGTAAAATAGCTCCTTGGCTTGCTCTTCTAGTTCATCTCAAACAACAGGACTTTTCTTTCGATTCACTTCATTCCTGCATACTTCAACATGCAGTCTTGCCACCCAAGACGGCTGACAATGAGTCACACCTCCCATTAATTACTTCCGCTGCAACTCTCTATATTTAGCATCAGGACAGAAGTAACTGTACAAGCTATGTTGGTAACAAGAGCATTTTAAGGTAGGCAGGACGGTGTGAGTTCGGCCAATAAAAACATTTTAACCTACAGTTCTGGTTCTCAAGACCCAACTACCTAGCCTTCAGTTTACCATGGCTTTTATGCCAACACAATAATTGTAAAGGCTTCTTTATAATGTTGTATGGTATGATATTTTGGTGCTTCTGAGTCATGGACAAAGGGATTAAGGACAGACGTGATATAGGAAAAGTAGCCAGGAAAAAGCCTAGGTGGACTAGGAGTTAGCTACCGAGTGTGGCCAACACTCTGACGTCTATCAACAAATAGCTGCATTACAAAATATCTAAAAAATTTCATAAAATCAAACATAAGAATAAAGGACTCTCCAATCACAATCATTCATTTCCTTGACTTGAATTGTTCTTCAACTACAATCCTCTTCATGCAATAAGTAGTTATAAATACAATAAAGGAGTAGTGCATATGTGCAGCAAAGTTGCACAGCTACTGCACTCACATTACCTCTGCTTTTTGTCCTTCGCACATAGAAGACTACTACAAAAGCAATATTATACATTCCCAACTTATCCTATTCGTCCTCAACTATGCAAGTAAATGCATTTTAGCAAATTAAAACACACAGACAGACATGAACACTTAAACTAAACCAATGTAAAATCCAGGAGAGAAAATTGCTTACCTATAAACAGTTCCTCCACTACCATGACCCAAAATTTCTAAGAACTGCAATTCTTGAGGTGATATCTAAAAAATGAAATGGACACATTTATTAAAGACACATTAATTTAGTGTTGTCCCTATAGTGTGTTTAGAGCTTTTTTGCACATTTTACACAATAAACGAAAGTGCAAACCTATTTAATTGCGTGTGGGCATGTCATTTCCACACCCTTTTAATTACGAGTAACAGGAGAAATATACAAGTAGTTAAAAAAGCATGGCAGGCCAAAGTAAACTAGGGAAAGGACTTAAACCTTCTTAGTGCACATAGAGCGAGGAATTGTGGTAAGCCAAATATTAAGAAGAGAAAATTAGAATACAAGTCTAAGTGGGCAGAAGATAGGCCCTTACTTTACTTTGATGATAATGAGAATGGAATGTTTTGTAAGCTATGTAAAAATGGAAGAGAAAACATAGGAGTGGCAAGCAAGTTTGGAATCAAGTGAATGCATTTGCATTAGATCAAACTCTGCTTCTGTATAATGAGGATATTTATTTCGTTGATGTTACAGCTGCTTGCACTGAAAACACCGGATTTGCTTAACTGATCAGGAGCCCTTAGGATCCTCAGTCTGATTTGTTGGTTTTCGTGTGTTACCCTTTCAGACCAACACAAAGAAGCAATAGAGTAAGAAAAAGCAAAGTAACAGAGTGTAACAATGTAACCAAAAATAATTAATTCATTACTATTAAACTACCGTATTTCCTTGAAATCTTTTTGCCCTCGAATTCTATCCGCCCTTGAATTATATCCGCACCATTAAGAAGGCTGAATGAAATAATATTCGCCCTTAAATTATTACCGCATGTTGCGCATGCGCAGTAGAAATAATACACGTGTTGCCCACGTGTGTTTACATGAGCATTCCCTTATCATAACCTTTGCAATGGCTTCTAAAAAAAGAAGTTTTGATGTGGCTTTTAAGCTAAATGTAGTTGAAGAGGCTAAGAAAACAAGTAACAGAGCAGCTGCAAGAAAGTTTTCTATTCTTAGCAATTGAACTATTAAAACTTATGAATTTACTATTAAAAATTAATATAGTTAATAAAAATTGGAGTAGGTGTGGTTACACTTAAAATGGAGACTGGAGCTGAACTTAATAGTGTTTGCCCTTGAATACTATTCGCCCCTGTATTGTACCCGCAGTGCTCTTGCTTCTGAAATTAATAGTACCCGCGGATAGAATTCAAGGAAATACGGTATTGATAATAATGTGTGTGGGAGTTAGGTATATAAGGAGAAACATTGGTAGTGAAGTGGTGGTATTTATTTATTTGTTATATTCGAGTTTCAATTATTATCATTGTCAATTGTTACTGGAAAGAGAATATTATTGCAAATCAACTGGCGCTGTAACAAGAGTAAGGAGGATGGAGGTATTGTTATTAAATTTGATAATTAAGGTCTGGGAAGCTGCAAAAAATCAATAAATCTCTACTGATGATGGACTTCTGTCTCCAATGGTGTGCTCCATAGTCTGGAAAATAACCACACCCTCTAGTGACTGACACTGATATAGTGACTCCTCCTTCATCGAGGAGTCCAAAATTAGTTGAAAAGGTTAACATACTCCCACCTCCTTTAATCTTAGTTGAAGACACTCTGTGATTGGTGCTGTAGCTCTCATTGCCCAGTCACCAGTGGTGCACTCACTGAGCTTATACTTAGTGCCAGTCCAGGAAAACTCGAGGAACCTTCCACCATTAGGGTAGGGTCTACTGGTAACTCAGCGAGGCTGCCTACACAAAGGCAGGAGACACAAATAATCACCCAAACATACTCTCATTATTGGGCCAATCCTCACTTGATGTATACATGATCACAACACTGAGCTAACATTTACCCTATGCATATCCTCTAGCTCACACAAGTCAGCCATATGTAATCTCCCATCACACACGGCAAACTCATCACACAACAATGGGAGACCTGACTATGAGGTAACTTGCCTCCAACTGCACTAGCCAGCTAACATTACTGAGTCGACTCACAAATTATCTACACACATATACATGTACGTATGGTACAACTCCATGTGGAGAAATAATTATTGTTATTATTACGTAATCTAATTACATTATTATTCATTATCTGATTTTTGTATAAATACGTGTGAAAGTTTGTGAGAAGGATCAAACAAACCAGACCTAAGAGGAGAGAATTGTTATTATTAATAAGATGATATTTATGATATTTGAATCTAACTGGTCAAACAGAAACTGCAGCTCAGCAATTGGGACAGCCTTAGCAGCAACTAGATAGAGAAGGTCTAGTTTTTAAAGAGGTCAAGCACATTTGGTCCAAGCAAGCCTGATCAACTGGAAGCGGGAGTTTAACTCTGGAGACTGGACCCTCGGGCTGCAAATTGGGTTTTCAAGGATCCGGAGTGAGTTGCTTATTGGAGTTTGATGAGTTTGCGAGTAATTTGTGTAAGTAGAGAGTATTAATTAGTTACTTACCTTACTTTGCAAGCCATATTTTGTCTTCTTTGTCCATAATAATAATTGTTGTCACGTATGTAGGCAGCTGCAAAAAGAAACTACGGTAATCTAGAAGCATTGCGGTAAGTTCTTAGTTGTTTTAGAGATCTGTTGAAGTATTTCAAGTATTATTAGTACTTTAAAAACATGGATGCTGCTGCTCTGAGGTCTGGTCATAGGGCAGTAGCTACAGGAAGAATGAAGGAGGTTGGAGATGCTGTTGCTGCTGCTACAGAACCAGATGTAATAAAGCTGGAGCAATGGAAAAGAGGTCTAAAGGACACTTTTGATACACTCAAAAGATTGGATGAGGCACTTATGCAACATATAGATCCTGAACAGAAACAGAAGAGTCTGAGCATATAAATGATGAGATATTTACTGCCATGGCATTAGTTGAGAGAGCTCCAGTTAAGAGAGATAGATGCAACCCATCTACTAGCTTGACAGCTGCCTCTACAAGTACAAGCAGTTCAAATGTTACTAGATTTCCGAAGCTATAAGCCTCAAGCATTTTAGCAGTTCGTTGACAGGTTGGAGCTCCTTCTGTGACTCCTATAAGGCAGCAATGCCACATTGTCAGCTGTAGAGAAATTCACATATTTGCAAGCCTTGATTGAGGGCAAAGCTAGAGATGCCATTGCAGGACTACCATTGACAGAAGTTAATTACACTGTAGCAATTGGTCTTTCAAAGAAGTGGTTTGGGGATAAAGAAAGGGCCAAAGTGGCTCACATGGAAGAGCGAATGATTATGGAGTCTGTTCTTTCAGACAATCATATTTTTGATTTAAGGCGCTTATATCATAAAAATGAAAGAAACGTGGGAAGCCTAGAAGCCCTGGGGTTGGGAGTAGATGCCTATGGGGCATTGCTTACGCCTATTGTTGTAAAGAGACTTCAACCAGAGCTGAGATTAAATTTAGGTAGGAAAGTGACTACTGATGATTGGAAATTATATAATATTATGAGAGTTTTTCTAGAGGAATTAGAAGCAAAGGAGAGAGCATCCTTGCCCAAGCAACCATGGAACTCCCATAGTCAGTTGCCTCAAAAACATAGCCGCGATTTTCCAACAAGAACTTTCTTTGGGGGAAGGGAAAGTGGTTGTTGCTCCTGTAAACAATATGATCATGCACCCGCAGACTGTATAAGTGTAATTACACATAAAGCCAGAAAGGCTATAATAAGAGAGTAAGGGCGCTGTTTTATTTGTTTATGATGGGGGCACTTAAGCAGAGATTGTCGATCTAATTCTATGTGTTCAAATTGTCGGGGTTGACATCATGTTAGCCTTTGTATTAAATTGCATCAGTCAAAGCCTACTAAAGGGAAGGAAAGGACTCAAGAGTAGTGTGCCTGATACAACTAGCCTTTTCTCATGTGTGGAGTCTCCATTGAATCCAAGTACTCCACCTTTTAAGCCAACGAGCAAAAGGGCTTCATGTTATACCAATAATGGCACTGATAGTCTTTTGCAAGTAGCGCAAGCCTTTGTTTTCACTCCTCAAGAGCCTTTTAGAAAAATGCAGATTAATGTTTTGTTTGATACAGGCAGCCAGGGTTCTAATGTGACCCAGCAAGTGTGTAATTTTTGGGACTGCATAAATTAGGAATGAAAGCTATATCAAAAGTGACCTTTGGGTCTTGACAAGAGTGAGTAGAGCATTGCGAAGTAATTAAATTCGGATTTAAAACGATGCGGAATGATGCACTGGTTCTTCAGATGCTTTCAATTGTCATATATGTGAGCTTATTGCCAATTCTCCTGTAAATTTAGAGCAGTATCTCCAGCTGAAAACTTCAAACTTTTCTACTGAATTAAATAAATGTAGTAAAATGAAACCTGATGCATTGATTGTTTGAGACTGCTCACTGGTGAGATGATAAAGAGTGAAAGCAGGCCTGTAGCCTAATATTCAAAATTGGGGTGGATTTTGTCTGGGCCAGTGACTTTGAGAGAAGGAATGAAGCCTAGAGCAACTTTAGTTACTCATGTTTTGAGAGTAGAGACTGTGAATGTGAGTAAACGTTTGGATGAAACCTTAACTAAGTTTTAGGATTTTGAGTCAATGGGTATAGTAGAGAATAAGAGTGTAGTTCAAACACAAATCTGTGACTATGTCAGTTATGTAGGCGGAAGATATGTTGTTTCCCTTTCATGAAAGGACTCCTCAATGTTATTGCCCAATAACTATTATTTATGTCATAAACACTTGCTTTGTTTAATATGAAGACTCAAGCAAACACCTGACCTCCTTGAAAGGTATGTTGAAGTGATTAGAGAGCAATTGAAGTAAGGGATTATTGTTCCCGTAAAGAGAGAGAGAGATAATATTATGCAGCGCATACATTATATCATATATTATGCCTCATCATGCGGTTGTGCAGTATAATAAATCCACCACTAAAGTACACGTTGTTTACGATGCTTCTGCGAAAGAGACTGGGCCTTCGCTTAACGATTGTTTGCATGTAGGTCCTCCCTAACATCAAAAGACTTTTGACCTACTTATAAGATTTCACATGCGTTTGATAGCGATCA